GTCACGTGACTTCGCTGACGCAACAATATGTTAAATTCGACCAAGATCTAGATAGGTGCATTAGTTATAAATACGAGAATCAGTGAGGCATTGAGTTCAATTCCTACAGTGTCACTCAAAATTAAGTATTCAGCAAGATTTATCACCCCTATTCTGCTATTCAGTTACTGGGTGAGTTACATGTTTGTTTATCGATTCAAAATTAAATACAAATACAAAATAAAAAGTTAAATACAAAAGTTAGGTTTACATTTCTCTAACATGTGTTAGCCACCCCCTAAGTTAATATTTTCAAATGTCCACATTTTCAATGTGTTCCAATCGCTCATCTAAACACCTATCTTTTTCTTACTCTAGATGTGCTCGGGACCTTGTTCACTAATTGGCCGTTAGCAGGGTTTTGCAGGTAAAATAATTCGTTACCATGCAGTGAAGAAGGCTGACTTTTCTGTCGGCGAATCGAACGATACCTCGCCCTTGCACAGTGGACGAAGGTTACTTGCACAGGTAGAAGGGCGTGGCCAACCTGACTTTGTTGTTTTTATTGTATTTTAGTTTTCGAAGCTACGTAATCCCATGTTAGGCAGGTTTATATATTTTTGACTTATAAATTTGGTACATTTAGTTTTTGTGAAATTTTCATAGTTTTGTTTTGATTTTCATGTTGAGGTCTTCCATTTACCTTTCACGATATTTTGTTTCACTATGTTCCATTTTAAATGTAAGAGCTTGTTTTCAATTTTTAGTTTAACCTTTCTTATTTTCTTCTTCTTTAGCTTATGTGTGTGTGTGTGTGTGGGGGGTCACACTTGCCTGGCGAGAGAGTAACAATAATGGTTTATTTTTCACATTTCTCTCTCTCTCACCAGATCAATACACCTATCCTTCGTTTTGTTTCATTGTGTTGTGTTTTGATTGTTTTTGTCTTTCAAAGATAGCAGTTTTTAATTTTTTTGTGTGTTGAGTCCTTCTTTACGACAAAATCAATCAGAGTTCGGAAATGCGATATAATATAATATAATATATAATAGTAATCGAACCTCCTTTTATCGCGCCCTAACTGATTGCTCTACTGGAAATGTGTGCACCAGAGTATAACACAGCCAGTGTTGAGTTCCAGGGGACATTCCCTCTATGCAAAAAACTCACCTCACTTTTAATAAAAGTACAGTATTTTCCATTTTGTTGAATTTGAACTTTAATTCATTCCCCCAGCTTCACATCCCCTCCCTCCTCACACACTGAACACATTTCATTTTTTGGTATTGTATAAAAAATAACAACAATAGAACCATTTGATTACTTCTGTTAAGATTGTTGTCATGTTTATAATCACGTAAGTTTGATTACTAATTAATTATTAATTTATTATTAGTACTACTAGTAGTGTTATTACTTGTAAATACTATAATTAGATTATCTTGTTACAATATAGTTTCAGGATCGAATCCTGGCTCCTGCCAACATACGCAGTTCTTATCGAAACTCTTCTGTTAATTGGCAGCATATTAACAGACGAAACGAAGAACATAAATATTTAATAATAATAAAGTTATTGTTAAACCAAGGTGATCATGTAGGGTACAGACTATTACTACGAGAGAGAAGTAGAATGAGCTTAACCAATCAAGAACCAGTTTGTAGCAGTCGCTATTCACATGCTCACGGTAATAGTAGCCGGAATTTTCCATCAAATTCGCCTTAAAGTGCTGTGTATATGTATATGTAAAAGGAAACCGGAATGAGGTCAGTCAATGCAGTATAAGTTGTATGATAATCCAAGTTTTCAGAGAAGACTGACATTCTCAGGAATAAGGACCGTTTACAACGTTTAATAAGTTATAGCCTAGGTAAGTGAAGTTAAAAGAATAAGGTAATATTAAAGGTGAGTTAAAATGGATTTTTTCCCCTTTATTTTTGCACTTCTTTTAAAATTCCAACTTCAACGAAACTTAGTTAAAGCTATAGGACTGACCTGAGCCTGAAGTTCAATATTATCAACGGCTGTAATGCTAATATTACTAAAAACCAAGTTTACAGTGGATTCTTTCCAATATTTTATATATATATATATATAATATATTTCTATTCAATTTCTAACTCTAGTAACATATGCTGGTATAGTGTGACATAGCTAACACAACGGTTATTATAAAATAAATGAATTAATTTAAGAAATAAATCTTGATTTTTTAAAAATTGTGTGAACTAGCAAAATAGTTCTAAACGATTATTAACATAACAATTGTTGCTTTTGTTAAATTAAAATACTAAACATTCTATAATCATGACACTTGTAAAAATGGCCCTAACAGTTACTGTTAGTAAGAACGTATCAAATAAAAATGGGAAGGCAGTGTAGGAAGTGAGCTTACAATTTGACTAAATTTTTAAATCGTTACAACTTAATACAAGAAATGGTTTCATTTGTTGCAAAACAATGCTGACAGTTTATATAACCAGTATACTTGAGTCAGATTAATGAACATGTGTGTTAGTTATTAAGAAAACGTTAAAGTAATGATGGAAATTTTCTGATTGTTTACATATTTGTTTGTGTTCACAAAATGTTTGGAAAATGTTTTGTTAGCTTGTTTTCATGGTCTTTCCATCTGGTAATCAGAATGAAATTGTAAGTACTATATCTATTATTTTGACCCCCCCCCCCAGAAAATGAGAAACATAATTCTTTCTTTATTCATTCAGCATACTTATATGAATTTCAGACTACTTTGCCCCCCCCCCCTCTGGAAAAAATTTCTGCAAATGCATGTCAAAGTTTTCATTCATAAATTTTCTCAAAAGCAAAAACTTTTAAAGTCTAAGCAACTCAACTAATCGGGACACTTGACAAGCATTTTTTTTTTCTTTCAAGTACTTCAACTAAAACACTACATTTTTATTAACTATCCCATTTTTCATAAGTATTCAGCTCATTTTTGGTAAATAAAACCAAAACTTTGGAACTTGGTTTTTTCATTAGACTAAGACCATAATGTCTGGTTTTAAGTTAGAAATTTTAAATAAAAAAAATTACAAGTCTAAGAAAGACTGAGTATGTTCTTTTTCATTTCATTCCTGTATAATAATCTACTAGCTTTATCTTCTGAAAGCCATAGTATTTTTCTCCCAAACTAACTTCAATAGATTACCATGTTTCATTTTGAGTGATCAATTTAAATGTAGTTCAAACATATTCCAAGTTGGACAAATTAATGAAGATAATAAATATAGTCCTAAGATTTAACTTGTATAGTTTATTTTCTCAGTCATATTAAAAGATAAGGTCATGGTTCTGTAACAATCTTATACATAAACTTTGTAAAAAGTGAAAGTGAGTGGAATTGGTAGGGTATTTTAATTTTTAAGACTCCTTTTGTAATGTTTTGTAAAGAACGAAAGGTTAATTTTTTTTTTATCTTTTAACAAATAATACTATGACTTTAATTGATTAAGAACTTGTAGAAAAAAAAAAGTGGGAACAAATAGGTAAAAATAGAGCATCAAATATTAATTTATTATCTGTGTAAGCAAGTTTTTATTGAATTATTTTTATTTTGTAGTAGTTGATATATTTTCTAACTCCTGTTCTTTAAAAAAAAAGAGGAAACGTGGATGTGATATGTCATGGCTCTGAGAACCTTAAATACCCTGTTCAGGATAGCTGCTGTCAACTTTAAACAGCCTGCTCGAGTTTTTCAACAGCCAAGTTTTTTTGATAATTTATCGGAATCTTCATAAAAGAGGCAAGTTTTCTTCTAAATACCTTTTAGTTTTGTTGCTTTGATTTTAATGAATTTCATTTTGTGACTAGAACTTTAAATCACAACATCATATCGAACATGGACATAACTCATTATTAATGTTATTTGTTATTTAACAGGTATTATTCATGATTTGTTATTGAGAGAAGTGTGTGTAGGAAAGGTGAGACAAAACTTAATATTTGATATCAGTGCCAGCAAATGAGTGTGGACTCTCTTGCCCCAATAGACTGTACTTTTATCAAGGTTTGTATAACCCTTCAGGAGGAGGTCAAATGTTTTTTTTTTTCTTATTAAGTTAGGAGCTCTGCGTATACCGCTGATCACGAAGGCAATAAAATTCAAATTCACATCTTGGGAAACTTAACACAATGTTTAAAAATATTGTATTAATAGTTTGGGGAAGAGAATAAAAGTTCTTTGTTTTTTTTAATGTGTGTGTGATGTTTCTAACAATATGTTTCACATTTTTGACCTTTAGGATCAAGCACTGTTGCCAAAGCGGCAACCAAATCTCATTTCAGTACAACCATCTATGAGACTATGCCAATGAACAAACATTCACTGAAAGTAATCTTCAGCAGTCACGAAGCTTCAGAATTCAAATACATATGGGTGAGTTGAATTCTTTACATGAAATTTTTGTTTTAATTTAGTAAAACTTATCTTTGTATATGAACCCGTGATGTTTGTACAAAATGTATGTGGTATAGTAAGATTGTTGAATTTTGCAAATTCAGTGGAGATGAAAAAAAGGCTTGCTAGTTAAATGTAAACAAAACAAAATTACTGAAAATGGGTAAGTTGGAAAATGTGTACAACTTTTAGTTTTGGGAGCAAAAATTTCTGTGTGGGTGTTTGTGGAGGTGAAAAAGAAAAAAATTGAGACGTCTTGCTTGTGTTAACGCTACTAAGGAGCTGTATCTTCATGGTTACCGGGAAGTATGTAGATGTTATTTTGTAACAAGTTGAACATGTATAATTATATTGAAAATGGTTGAGGAAGTCTGTTTATAAAAGTTCTACATATTACTTTCTTAAATGTAAAACTTCATCTCTTCAATTAATGAATGTTTTTTTTATATTGTATTTTCAATGAATATTTAGCTGTTGTGCAAACTGTTTCTCTACTTTAATACCCTACTTTTTTTTATTTTTCGTGATAATAGGAATCTAAAACGGGAGTTTGTCATAAATTTACATTTCGGTAATATTCAGAAGAATTTGAACAGCTTAAATGGAAAGATTAGATTGATAAAGTTGACACGGCTATTCAGCACTAGTAAAACTGTTGGCCTGATTAGTAGATGAGAAACTAGATTCCCTAAACCTGATTTAAACTGGAATATTTAGTTTTTTGTGTGTGGACGGTTTTAAGTTTATAAACTGGTTTGTTTCTAATTGGTATATACAACAAATGACTGGTGTGTATGAGATTGATAGTAATGTTATACTTGTTACCTTAGCACATCACTGAGTAGTTCAGATTTCTGATTTGTGTTAATAATAATATTACCACTTAAAAGGCTTCTCTGAAATCAAGTAATTTTATACATGAAGTAGAAGGACACAGTTTTTCCTTGTGTGATATTTAATGTGGGTGTGTGAGGGGCAGGTGGCTTCTCCCCCCCCCCCCCCCGCCAACTAAGGTTTTTAAACTAATTTTTATAAAGTAATAGCTAAGGGTATCTCTCAAGGAATCAAAAATTGTATATTGGACAATGTTAGATGATGTTCCCATTCCTTCTTTCT